GCGTGGGATGAAGCTATCGCTTCTTCTTCTTTTGGAGCTTCTGGTTGGAGAAGCTGGCCAGAACTTGAGGAGTCTAAGTTAAGGGAACAAATTAATCATCATTTTGTCAAATTCGTTGATCTTCTAACTTTTCCTTCCTTTGCTCGGAGTTCAGTGGTTTACCCATATGTACCCATTGACCGCCGACGCTGTTTAGAAGATAACTTATTCGTAGCATGGTACACGTCTTCCATGCCTACGAAGATAGGTCAAGCCACCCCTCATCTAGAAGAGGCCCAAGGATACAGCCCATCATTCTTAGCTCAAAGAGCTAAACTTTGCTTTTCTGACTGGCTTGACATTGTTAACAACCCTCAATTTCCTCCTTCTTTTGAGATGGAAGCTCCTGCGCCTCCTCTTCCGCAAAACCCTCACTGGATGGAGGAACTGAGACTTACTCTCTTTGAGGACCAGTTTCTCCCCTCTTATCATCTTCCATCTCCACCTACCAAACATCAGTGACAGCAAGCCCAACTTCTACTTGCAGCATTCTCTCACTTGCCCTTCAATGTTCTTGAAGACGATGTTTCCCTTAAGAACTTTCGATGGGCTTGTGACGTTATGACTCGGGGTCATGTCCTTAACCCTATTGCCCAAGCAGAGCTTCAAATGTTTTTAGATTAGCTCCCATTACTTCTTCATTAGCACAACATTTCTGTGGCCACCATTCGATCCTTGGATCAAATCTCAGCCTATCGAGTTCATACCCAGTATGAAGCAGAAAGCCTCATCGATGAATATAATAATTTCAAGAATAAAGACTCTATATACTGGGATGGCTTGGACATGGATGAGATGGAACAAGGGTTGAAGGAAACATAATTCGAAATAAAGGTTGAGAAACTTTTTCATCAAGTTAGAGCATATCAACTTCAGAAATGCAGCCTGGAGAAAATAGAAGATAGAATAAAGAAAGAATAGAAGTTCATTGACCACAGTTGGAGCAAATTTCATGAACTTGTTATTTATTATGTTCCCTATTTTTATGAGCTTGAATATGTAGCCAAAGAAGGCCTATGATGTAATTGCTCTTATTTTACTAAGGCTTAAATGTTTCCTTTTTATTTGGCATGGTATGTTTTTACCCTTTTTGTCGAAGTCAAACAATCTTAAGGCTTCGAAGTCAACAATTTCATCCTTCGAATCTCAATTCGATCATTATTAGCGGCAATACTAAAGAAACCAACTTGAGCTTTTCCAACTTATGGAGTGTAATTAACAACTTTTGCCAGTTTCCTTTTAGAATCAGAGCTCCGAATTCGCCAATTTTGCCCTTCGAAACTTGATTTGATCATATCCAATTCTCTATCATATGGTTAACACAACCAAGGACTTTCAAATCAATTTTGTTTCAAAAAATCAGTCTATATTTTCCAAAGTATGGAAACCTCTGCTAAGTACTACACCGTTTTATTTGGAAAAAGTAATCTCTTCTGTGTACTATCAAACCAACTATTGGTTTGAAACAATTTCTAACTTTGCTTCGAATGATTTATTCTCACTAAGAAACCCTAAAACAGGATTTCAATCCTGTTGAGGTATACAAATACTTGAGCTTTCTTGCATCCTTAGGTGTGAGATGTGCTTCAAAGTCGACTCCTTGCCTTCGAAGCTATTTGTTATCGGATCTCGGCGCCAAAATTTGGCTTTGGCGCCAAAATTTGGCTTTGAAGCCAAATATTTTATTTCGAAGCTAACATTAGTATTTGAGATGTGTTTCCCTCCATGATTATCAATATATAAAGAAACTTTTCGCATCCGTAGCTTTAGTACTTCTTTGTGAATTCCGTTCGTGCAACACGACTGGCCAAAATTTGGCTTTGAAGCCAAATATTTTATTTCGAAGCTAACATTAGTATTTGAGATGTGTTTCCCTCCATGATTATTAATATAGAAAAAAACTTTTCGCATCCGTAGCTTTAGTACTTCTTTGTGAATTCCGTTCGTGCAACACGACTGGGTATATTTTTTTAGACATAAAAGTTTTAAAACCCTTTTATTTTGTGCTTTGAATTCACCTTAACCCTTCATCTCTACTGACCTTCCTTTTCCTCTACTCTCTTTCCCGACTTCGTCTTCTGAGACAACTTTATCAATGGCTTCTCATTTTTTGAAAATACCGATCGTGGAGTGTGCGAGTCTGTCTGTGACCCTTAAAAGGATTATTGACGCAGAGTGTGAGAAGTACAAGGTTGGTGAGAAAAGCACCATTGATAGACGGATCTTCATTTCTCGTCGTCATGAGCAACAAGAGTATGTGCTTGGGCCCATCTTCAAGGAGATTCATATTGAGCTTCCAGCTCTATACCCACGTCTAGAGGACCATTGTCTCCTTTACGAAGGTGGTCTTGACTGGGGAAGCTGGAGGATGAACTGCCCCCATCGTTGCTGGCCCACAGTGAGACCAGAGTGGCAAGAGTGGTATGATCGGGTTGTCTCATCGCTGCTGGCCCACGGTGAGACCAAAGTGGCAAGAATGGTATGATCGGGTTGTCCCTGATGGGACTCTGGACCTTCAAGAGCTCTGCCTTTTCGACACCCTCCAATTATCCAGGTTCACTATTTCAGAGGACTCTTTCTTAATACCTGCTGCCCTTTGCTTTTGGAATTTTGCTTTCAATTTTTTTCAATTCAGATGTGGGATGATGGCCCCTACTGTTCTTCATATCTGCCATTTATTAGGATTGTCCCCCACTGGAACCCCCATTGGATCAGATTATCCTGACCTACAAACCCTTTTTTCCCTCCCTTTTCTTAACTCATCCTATAGTGACTTTGTCAAGGCTGAGAATAAAAGAGAGGGCCTTGTGGCTGATAGGGAATTCTTTTCTTTCATATTATATTGGCTTTGCAAATTCCTTTTCTGCACCTCTTCTCAGAGGATCATGCATGAATTCGTCCCTCTTGCTAAAGCCCTTGTGTTACAGAAAAAGGTGGCCTTAGCTCCATACGTTCTAGGTCACGTATATAGAGCCTGTTCTCTTTTTTGTGAGAAACCTTTGAATGCCAATCAAGGAGGTCCATTTTGGATACTTCAGTTTTGGCTTTTCGCATATTTTACTGAACTACAATCTAAATGCCTTAAGTTTTTGGAGCCAAATCCTACTACTCATGGCATGAGGCTAGCCAACGTTTCACTCTATCTTTCTACCTTTGCTTTTTTACTTCTTTTTCTTCCACCAACTCCCAGCTTCATTTTCTTCCCATAACTTCCGTCCCTTCGAACCTACCAACATTGGCCCATCTTGGTTGAAAACCTTTCTGAGTGCTAGGTTCTGCTCTTCACCCCAACACAAGAACATATGGGCCTCTATTCTGATCCCTAGAGAGTTGTTCATTGGGACTATGAACCCTAGAGCTTACAAGTGCATTGCTGAGCCCTATTGTCCTGTTCAATTTGCTAGGCAATTTGGCCTCTCACAAGGGGTCCCAATACCTCTCTGTAGCCAGACCAATTTAAGTCTTACCAGCAGGGACTTAAAGGTTCAAAGATTCAGATTAGAAGAAGCAACTTCTAAATTTATCCAGGACTTGATTGACTTTGAGTATTTCCCTTTCATTCCTCAAAGTAACCTATTAAAAAGGTGCCAAAACTGGTGGGTGACCAATATAGAGGTATACTTGGCCATTCCTCCGCAAGACCTATTAATGGTATTGGATATACCTCAACCCAAATCGAAAGGGGCTGGAATTGTTATTTCTTCCATTGTTCCTATTACCACAGTTCTTGCACCTGTTATTATAAAGCCTATTCCTGCTACCTCAATTCCTCCTAGAGTTACTCGAGCTGCCTCGAAGAAAGGTATGTACCCTTGTTTCTTTTCTCTTCTTCTTCTTTATAATGCTTTTAGCCTTACTTCTAGTTGTTCTTTTGGTGTAGGTGGTGCGGGTGCCTCACAGGGAGATTCTCCACAAAAGGTCCAAGCTTTAAATCTTCTCAGGAGCAAACAACAACAAAAGAAAAGAAAGCTCTTACTTGACCCTGAAGAGGAGGCACCTGGGGTTTAGGTAGCAAAAGAAGAAGAGGTAGAACAAGAGCAAGAAACACCCTTAAAAAGAAGAAAGAAGATGACTGCCTCTCTTGCTGATTTCAATGGAGATCTGTAACGAACCCATCACGTATAATGATGAGTACTTGATTAATTAAGAGGATTTAAAATTTAATTGCCGAGTATTATAATTTAATTTAGGATTTGTGAGAATTGTGGAATCTGACTCGTATATGATTCTATTAAATATTTATTTGGAATTAGAAATTAAGGGTCCAAATGGCTTAAGGAAGTGAAGTTAAGAAGTTGAATCAATTTAATCTTAATTATGGACCCATTTGGGAGTTTAATTAAATATTCGTTTTGGTTTAGTAAAATTGAGATTCGATTAATTAGATCCTAATTGGAGTTAATCAAGTTAATTAAATTATGAAAATTGAGAATTGTAATTATTGCGAATTAAATTATTTATGGGGTGTCTAATTTGAATATATAATTTAATTGACAGAAATTTTGAGTCCGATCAGAAATTGAAGGATTAAATGATCTAAGAAACCAAAATTGAGGATGGATATGAGTTTAATTTAATAATTGGAGCCTTTTGGGATATTGATTAAAAATCTAATTCGGATTGATAAATTTAAATATATTTAATTAGGCTCTAATGAAAGTCAATTAGGCTAATTAAATTATGTGGGATTTGAGATTAGTTATAATTAACTAATTTTGTGTTAACCAAGATTTATTAAGACTAAGTGATTGCTTAATTAAAATTTATCCTAAGCATAAATTGCCCTATGGAACAAACTAGAATTGTGGGTGTGGGTGCACTGAGAAATTTAGGTGGGTGTATTGAGAAGTCTGGTTATGATTTGTAAGTGTATGTGCACGTGTAAGGAGGAAGGCAACTAATGATATATATAAATGTATTAATATATGAGTTCTGAAATGGAAAATGGAGAGTTAGAGAAAAGGAGAGAGAAACCGTGAGGGAGAGAGAGAGAGAGAGAGAGAGATATGAAGCCTATTCAATCATCTTTGCTGGGAGGAATTTGATGGGAAGTTAAGAACTAAAGATAAAGAAAGATCTTGAAGATTAATAGGTAAGAAATCCTAACCCAATTTTTTTTTTAGACAATCTCTTCAAGACCTAAATTTATGAGGTAATTGAGTTTAAATACATATGATATGAGGGAATCAAGGAAAAGAATGAAGAAAATTATGTTAAGTTCAAGAATTAAGGAATTGATTTAGAAGCTCATCTTTTGAGTATGATTTTAGTCACCCTTGATGAATTTGAGCTCTAATTTTACATGCATCATTATTTTCCAAAGGTTTGATACTTCAACTTCATATAATTAGAAAAAAATTACCAACAAAATTAAGGTAGGTTCATGGTTATGGAAATCAATTTAGAAATTAATTATTTTGCATTTAATTTTTGTAATCTTGCATGAATTTGGGCCTTATTTTTACATGCACGTAATTTGGAAGAATTAAAGAATAAATATGGGTTTTGATTTTAATTATTAACCCATGCATATAATGTAATCTAAGAGTTTGACTCAAATTAAACATATTTTGGAGCATCTATGATTATGAATTAAATTGAGGTTAAAATAAATTGAGTTAAGCTTGAGATTAAGGAATTGAGTTTGGGAAAATTTATCAAGTAAGTTTAATTTGTGTTATTCCTCATGAATTTGGACTTCATCTTTACATGCATCAATGAATCTTTAAGAAAGTTGGAGAATTAATTTCATGTTTGGGTATAAGAGACTCATAGTTGTGGAAATTAATTTGGAAAATTAGTTGTTTTGATTTGATTTTGTAGTATTTTTTGTAATACATGAGTTTTAAGGGAATTGAGCCATACAAGTTCATATTTTGAAGAGACAAAGGAAATGTTTTAAGAAAATCAAGTTTGTGGAAATTTGGAATTAATCCTAAAGTTTTAATTTTATAATTAGATTTTTATTTAATCCATGCATGTGATGTAATTTAAGAATTTTATTCAATTTAGATACATTTTAGAACACCCATGATTACAAATTAACTTTTTGGTTAAAAATTGAGTTAAGTTGAATTTCTAAGAAATTGATTTGTGTAATTCATAGTTAGGTTGATTTTTTTTATTAATAATAAAATTGGATCTATTTGTATTACATACATCACAGAATTTCAAGAGGTTGGGAAGTCTAATTTATATTTTAGAATTGTGGGTTAATATAAAGAAGATGAGTTAAAACTAAATTTGGACAATTGGAGCATGATTTTGAATGAATGACTTCTAATTGAAAGTGTTTACTAAATCATATAATGGTTCTTCATTTTTATGTACCAAAAGTACATGTTTAGAGGCTTTGAATACCAAATTTGAACTTCAATTGCAATTTTGGAATTTCAAAATTTACGTTGTCCGCTCGAGCGAGGAAAGTCTCGCTCAAGCGTGAAAATCGAGCTCCCAGCAGTTTTTCAAATTTTACAGTCCACTCGAGCGACTAAAGTGGCGCTCAAGCGGAGACCCCCTTTTCAGCATATTTTGGAAAGTTGCATTTAGTTCACATTTTTATTCTCATCCTTTTCCAAAGCATTCTAGACATGATTTATGACTCAATAAAGATTAATAAGTTACCAATCAGCATAAATTAGTTAGTTAAAGAATGAATCATTGATCTAGTGGTAATTATTTAAGAAGCCAAGTAAAAGATCAGTCTATTTGGAAAAGAAGGTTTTAGTAATGAAAGAATATGTGAAATAAGAACCCGGTTTATTTGAATGAGAAAGAATAAGCGTAGTAGAACTTCGGACTATTTAGACAGAAAAAGACTAGAAAAGTCAAGTTTGATCAAAGGAGTAATATTGTATTTCAATGTGTATATGTTATGTACTTGTGTAGGTCACGCGCCATTATCTGCCTGATTTATCTGATATGTCCAGTCCGTCTGATTTGCTTCTGCGACTATCTGTGAGTAATAACTTTGTAAAGTTATGTTCAATGTTAAATATTTTCTGAACATTATGATATGAAATAATTAGTTTCTAAAATGCTACACTATGTTTGAAATGAATGAATGATTGTCCAAGATTCTAAAATGCATTCGTGGCATCCTTAGCATCATATGATATGCGTCCTTTTATGGGTCATCAGGTCCCTTTATGGGTCATCGGAAACGTCTCTGTGCACATGAGTCATCGAAATGCCTTCAAGGCCGTCCCTTCATGGGTCATCGGATTTGTTAACGCTAATGGATGTACCATGTATGATTATATGCAAAATCTGAATATGAAAATGATTATGAATATGTATATGAATCTGTTTCTGATTTGGAATCTGAATATGCATAAGAATCTGATTTCTGACTCCGTGATGGACGTTATTCATTAAAACCCTTTACTCTGTTATTATTCACTGGGCTCTAGCTCACTATATTATTTATGTATGTAGGTGATTAGGCGTGTGACCAGGCTTAAAGGCATCTGCCTAGAATCTGTTTTTGTCAGCCAGCCTACGTGCCTTCCGTGGAGGTTCCGAATATGTCAAGTGATTACGACCATATGATTTAAAGTTTAAGTTTTGTTTTCGTGTTTGGTTGAACAAGTCTTGCGTATTTTGTAAATAGGGCTAAGTCCCTTTTTGTCTAATCTGTATATATATAATGACTTGAGGATGATGTGTGTATATGTATATAAATAGTTTAAAATTTTTCTGTCTCATATAAGTCTGCACTGCTCAACGGACGTTATATATTGTTATTTGCTTCCGCTAACCCCTAATATTATGCTAATCTGTCTCAGAGGCCTTCGGTAATCCCAGGATTACTAGTCGGTTACGATACTAAACGTATAGGGGCGGGTTTGGGTCGTGACAAGATCCTATCCATGAAGCATTTGCTAAAGCAGTGCAAGCAGAGCATTCCAAAGAGCTTATTGTATTCCAAAAGGCTGAGAAGAGGAAGCAACAGCAAATGCTCAAGGATGAAACCGCCGCCGTTGATGCACTCCAGAAAGAGGTTGCAAGAAAACAACAAGCTGCTGGACACTATACTCTTCGCAACTTCCCAATCATAGCCATTACTTCTGAAACCAGTAAGCTCCGTCGTACTTCTATTCATTTTTCTCAAATTCTCAATACTAAGGCTTGACATTGTTTTGTATTTCTTCTTTTGCAGCAGCAATTGCTTTGCATATTCTTCCAATAAGGATTCCTTCAGTTTTAGTTGAAGTTGAACAACCTCAAGATGTGAAGCCCATTCAAATAATTCTCCCACTTCCTGGCCCTATATTTTCCATACCTTTCTTGAGGCCAAGTATTTCTGCTTCTCTTTCTTTTGGCTTAACTCCATACTTCCCTCATTTATCTTTCAATTCTTCTCAATTTGATTTCCCTTTAAACCTTGCTTCTCCTTCCCCTCCTGAGGAAATTTCAGCTATTACTTCATCTTTAATGATTGCTGATTCCTATAGAAAGGGTACTGGTAACTCTCAAACTCACGGTCCCTTATCTTTGCCTAGCTCCAGTCCCTCTTCCCTCGACCTACTGGTAGCCAAAACTATAGAGACTACTAAGGATATTCTACATTCTCCTCCTACTCCTATGCAGTCATTTCTTCCTTCTACCAGTGCTCTTTCTGCACCCTCCATGTCTATGGATGAGGAGGACATCTTCGAGGCTAGGCTAGCTAGTCTCTTTGTACCTTCCTCCTCTCCAACTGATAGTAGTGAGACTGAGCCATTAATTCTAGCTGATTCTTTATTAGAAATTTTTTAGAGCTCTTCCTTCAATGGTAAGTATAGCGATTCCGGGTTTACCCTTGTTGTACAGTGATCCGGACATGTGTCCGTGGATGATAGTAGTTAATTATTACCTGGTGTACATCCTTTCTTACTTTGTATTTGAGTTATAGGATGTGTTGGGCAGATTTGTTACAGGTTGGTTGAGATTAGAAACCAAAACTAGTTGCCCAGATTCTGACCTGTCCGCTCGAGCGGGGGTTTTGGCGCTTTAGCGGGAGTTTCACCCGTCCAGTATTTCCTGTGCAGTGTTCGACGCTCGAGTGTGGGATTGGCCGCTCGAGCGGGATTGTGTGAGTGCCGCTCGAGTGGGAAATTGGAAGCTCGAGCGGGAGACCTGTCTGCAAAAGTTCTGGGAGTGTGTATCCGCCGCTCGAGCGGGATTGTTGACGCTCGAGCGGGAGTCTGTGAGTGACGCTCGAGCGGGGAGTTAGTGACGCTCGAGCGGGGCGACTTTTTATATAAAGCCGAGATCTGACTTTTTTGTTCACTTTTCAACATCCTTTCTCTCTCTTACTTTTTCAAAAAGCTATTTTGAGAGTTCCTCACACTAAACCCAACTTCCTCTCTTAGGATTGATCTAGTAGGAGTTGTTTTTCTCACTTTGGGCCTTTACAAAAGTTGTGTTGATCGTCGAGGGCTATCTTTTATTCTGAAAATTTCGGAATTTGGAGCATTTTCGTTTCTTCACCTCCTTCGTGGTCCCATTATTTGAGGTAGGGATAACCACTCCATCTTATGAACTTTGTCTTTGAATTTTAGCATTTTGATATTTGGGGGTTGTTGGGTAATTTTGAGAAAATTTGGGCCTTTGTGCAGTTTTACAAAAGTTGGGGTTTAATCATATAAAACCTAATGCATGTTTGGCATGGAAAAGTGAAATTAATGTAAACATTAATGAAAATGAACCTAGGCATCTCAATGGAGCTGCTATATCATTGTCAAAGCTAAAAATGACAGAAATGGCAAAAATCAGTCTCCAATGGTCTGCTAATTCCTTGCCAAAGATGGAGATGCCATATGTGTTCTCAAATATGGCAAGTGAAATAGCAGATAGCCAACATTGCCAGATCAGCAAATCCAACAGAAATTGGCACCAAATTCAGTTGAGAAAACAACAGAATTAATCCATAGGGAAAGCTATTTTCCAAAATCAAACCCAATTTTTACGAATCAGCATCAATAGTCTGCACATAAGACATCACGTGTATTTCTATATATATATATTATCACTATCAATGAAAAACTTGTAAAAAGACAATACAATTGATTGTAAAATTATATATATGTCACAGAATCTGACTACCATATCATATATATTGATCAAATCAACACAAAAATATTATATGATACATCTTTGTAATATATATTATATTGATCATAACAACTATATATATATTTTAAAATGATCAAATTATAACATCGATATATAAACATATATATATATATATATATGACCAAAATTAAACCCAAAACATTACCCATTAAAGACATAACAAACCGTATATATATATATATTATATGATCAAATCAAACCCAAACATATATATATATATATATGTAATATGTATATATGAAGACAGATATTTTTTATGGAGACCCAAAACACATAAAAACAGAATTTTTTGATGGAGACAAGACAAATCAAAATATATATAATATATATGCAGATAGATCAAAACATATATATATATAATATATATAGATGAAGATTGTACCAGAGACGGAGAGTAACAGATCGGAGGAGACAGAGTCAAACCAGAGAGAGGGGGTTCCGATCTTGAGGAGAAGGGGAGATCGGGTTCCGATCATGGAGGAGAAGCGGTTTCGATCTTTGAGGAGGGGTTTCGATCTTGGAGGAGAAGGGAGATCGGGTTACCGATCCTGTGCTCTGTTTGTGTTTGTGCTCTGTTTAATTTCGGCCATGGGGAGAAGACACAATGAGAATGAGAGGGAGATGAAGAGCTGTGGAGGAGATGAGAGGGAGATGAGAGTGAGAGAGACTGAGATAGATGTATGCAAAAAGGTGATGGGTCAGTGTAAATAAAAGAGCCGTTGTGGTCTCTGTTTGGTTTGTTCAACCCAAAAAAAAAAAAAAAAAATTGAAATTAATTTTTACAACGGCTCTTTAAACGGCTATTTGCCAAACGGTAATAAATTTCATTTCTATAAATTGAAGCCTTTCTTTCACTTTTATTTCACACAAATATTTACATTTAATTTTTCTTTTCTCCTCTCTTCTTTGAATTTAATTTCACAACAACCTCTTAAATTATATTCTTTTTAGTTTTTTCATCCAATCACTATGGAAGTTCATCAAAAACAAAGAGAGAAAATCATTCACCGTTGAAGAAGATATGGCAATTTGTAAATCTTGGTGTCACATTTCGGAAGACCCAATTGCTGGCAATTCGCAATCGTATGCTCACTTTTGGGGAAGAATTTACGAAATTTTTGCCTGCTTCAGAATGATCAGTCAACACAATTCTATTCAATCTCGATGGGGTATAATCATGAAATGTTCTAACAAATTCGGGGATGTTTAGCACAAGTCGAAAATCTTCACCCAAGTGGGATTTCTCAAGTTGATATAGTAAGTTTTATTTTCAATTATTATGTTTAGTTTCTTATTCTGGTATCGTATAAAAATTACGTAATTAAATAATGTTTCAATATGAAAAACATTTAATTTTTGGAATATTAAATAATGTTTTATTATTTATTATTCAATTATTATTTATTTTATTTAAATAATGTTTTGATTTTCAATTACATTTAATTTTTATCTTCAATTTTTTTTAAACAGATGCTTCAAGCAAAACTGTTATACCATCAAGATGAAAACAAACATTTCGCGTTTTGAACATTGTTGGCCAATATTGCAAGACAAATATCAGGTGGCAAGATGTAGCTCCCACGAATACGGTAAAGTCAAGGATGCATACAGTGTTTACCCCAAATTCAGCCCCTGATTCCCCTATGGAAACTGCATTTCTCTTGAAGACGACAACAGTCCAAGTGTTGGTAACAATCAACTGTTGGTGAGGCAGTGCCGCTGGAAAGGGTAAAAGGCCGATGTAGGAAATCTGCAAAAGAATTATTCGGAAGAAATCAAGTCATTGAAACTGAAGTCCAAAAAATGAGTATACAGTTAGACACATTAACCAACACCTTGATGAGAAGAAAAGAAAAGAGAAAAGAGGAAGAGAAGAAAAAAAGGTTCAAGCACTGCAAGATATAAAGAACTGGAATGAAAAAGCATGAGTTTGAGATGAAAAAGGAAGAACACCACATAATGACTACGGACATTTCTCATTTGGACCCTCAGATGAAAGCGTATTACACAATGCGAAAAATTGAGATTTTTGCCAAGTGGCCCTCAAATGTGAGCAGCCCAAATTTTTATTTCCCCCTACCTCCTGAATGAATAATTACGGGATAATGTATTTTTGAAATTTGCAAAATCATTTATATTTTGATGTAATTGTCAGTCTTTATTTGAAATGTAATTTTTATTTTGTAATGAAATTTCTTGTTGTTTTTTTATTTTATTTTTTAGTATTTTGTACTTCACAATGTAAAAAAAGACATTTTATGAAAAGACATTAACTGACATTAAAAGACATTGTAAAATAAAAAGACATTAAATGAAGAACATTTTATTCGAATAAAAGACATTAGCTGACATAAATGACATTAACTGTCATTAAAAAAATAAAATGCAAACTTAATTAACTCTTCCAGCTCGGGACCACAAGTGTTCAATTAGATCATTACGAATTACATTATGGGCTTCAACAGATCTAATCCTTTGCCGATTCAACATAAATTGAGCGTACTCCTCATTCGGATCGCGTGACACTTGACAGCCCAAATTACT